CGTGCCGTTATAACACATTTTCATCTCATCATATAATTTCTGTTGTGAGTATATTGTTGTATGTTTATTACAACAAAATGGCGCAATAATCATTAATTGTCAATTTCATCATTAAATACTACACCAAATACAAAATAAGTAGCATCATTAAATTTCTTGTAAAAAACTGGTTATTATGAAGTTATTTTAAAATTTGTAAGTTCAACCGTTTGGCTTCCTATAGCGAACAAAATAAACAAACTTTTTTTTTTTATGTATAGATATACATACGTACTTGTAAGTAATAATTATTATTGTATGTTTAACTTGTAACTTATAAGACATATTAATCTCAAAGATAATTCAAGATTTAAATATTTGATTTTTATCTGAAACAGTAGGACATACTAAGCAGTATCTAATGCCACTACACATTAGCTATAATCCAAGTTATTGACAAGGGTGGAAGAGGGTGTTTAGATGTGACTTAGAAAAACATTGATTCACCTTATGTGATAGAATAATGTTGGTTTTTAATACTAACTTACTCGTGTTTTAGTTACCACCGTTATGTTTAAACAGAATTATGAACTCATTTTTAGTGATTGTTGATATAAAACACGGCATTTATAATGTTTCATTCAAAATGAGCTTAATTATTAAATGTACAAATTAGTCTTAAGGTAGGTTCATACTGCTATTAGAAGGTGGAGAATGATTTTTGTTTGTTTGTTCAGATGTTTGATAATTGATTTTCTACTTATCACAAGTAGTGTTTCATTTGTTTCTTAGACTTGTATGTAGAATTTTCATTAGAATGTACATGTAAAACCGTTACGGTAGTATGATAATATTGTTATGTGTTGTTGTTTTTGTGGTTCTTTAGATATCTGTATTAATAATACCAGGTTCTTTAAAGAGAGTAATGAAAACCATTGGCTTATAATTTTTTACAGTGAAGTATAGCTGTTCTTTTCTAATGTAAAACTCAAAAGATTTCTAGGAACTATTAATTTCTTTGTTTCTGACTTTTTTTATGAGGAAACAGTTACAAAATAATAAAAAAATTGTAGTTGGCCATTGTTCAGATTTTAAATTGAATATATTTTTATTACAAAAGTGATAGGATACAGGAGAAAAATCCTACAAAAACTTCAGTGAAACACATAATGGGTTACAGATACTAATCAATTATGTAACAAATTTTCAACTTCTGTATTTTTTAAGACTTTAAAGAGAGTAAAACAATTAATTTTTTTTAAATAATTTCACCACAGTTGGATTCTGGCTCACTTGAGAAGATTTGCCTCACATCTCGTGATGAACAGAACGTCTTGGTTGTCAGTTATGCAGAACTGAAACATTGTTTCGAATCATCCTTCAATGAATTACTGGCTGCTCAGAAGCCTCATACTCCCACATAACCTAAATATTGCAGAAAAAGGGAGAATCTTTGTATAAAGTAGTATGGGACCAGAGAAAATTGTGGCCAATACAGAAGACTTATCTGTAAATTGTTCATTGCATATTTATGTCCAGTCACAACTGCATGTCATCTTGTTGGAGATTTGGAGAGTAAGAACTGTGAGCCTCAAATGCCAGAGAAAGCTGTTGAAAGTTGGAATTGATATATAGTCTTGTGTCATATTGTCCAGCCAGAGCATAGCAATAGGAAAAAAAATATATTTCACAGTGAAGAATGAAATAGATATTGTTAGAATCAAATATCTTAATATGTACATTCCTAAATGAACGAATTATACTTGCTGGTTATTTTTATCCATCTTCAAGTTTCAACACTGTACAGTTTTGTCATTCACTTACATCCATTTCAATGGGCAGCTTTCATTAAAACACAGAGATAATGAATAATAATAAATGCCTCAAAACAGGTTATTTTAAATTGCTTAAGTTTTTTTACCTTTCTTGTGAAAGTGAAAAAATTGCCATTTCTCATGCGCATGATGAATTGTTACTCAGGGATTGAAGGAGTTGACATTATACTCGGTTTACCAATTTATACTGAGTGTTGTATAGTCCTTACAATGTTGGTCATCAGTGGACAAGTTGGACAGTATTCTTATACTGCTGGTATAACAACAATATATATATATTTTTTTTTTAAACACTAATAAGCAAATTTGATTAGAATTTACCTTCAAACATCAGTGATATATTTAAAAATTAGCACGATGAGGAGTTTTATATGAAGCAGATGCATCTAGAGTGACGTTTAATTTATGGTCGATCAGTATGAAGTTACATTTTATTTATAATAGATGCTGCAATTAAGAGAAAAAAGTAATCAACTTTTTTTTTGTGGAAGAATTAATAATCTATGGATCATAAATATTCAATCAGGAAACATGACGTACATAAGAAAAATTTTACAAAAAAAAGATCATCTCTTGAAAAAACTTTTTATATCACAGTTGAAAATACTTTTAAAATTACAGTAGGATATCTCTGCATTTATTAAAACTTCTACCAGTCTAATTTACTTAAATTTTACAAATAAAGTGATAAAATCTGCAAAGTTATTGATTTAGAATTTAACAGAGGTTGAGTGCATTATACAAAAATAACTTAGAGCCTCACCACATCATTACAATTCATGTCAATATATCCAGTCATGCTCTGTCTGGAGTGCAAGTTCTAATACAAAAGTATCTGGCATAAAGCTGTTTATGTTCAAAGCACAACTCTTATCCCTAAAGCTTGCCATAATCCGTGTAGTAGACAAAGATAATAGTTTTATATTGATTTATATTAACAGTCTTATTGCACAGAAGTCCTTAGGCACTGTATCTGGTGACTTGATGAGCATATCTTCATGTGGAACAGCATGAATACCCATTTCATTCTCCAGCTGATTGAGGTATGCAATGGTTGAACTGATATGTTGTGGAAGCAACTTGTGTTGCTTTTCCACACATAGATCCTTCTTGGTTATGTTGCACACTGTTGCCTGGGTCATCTCCTCAGTTTTTGCCACTGACTATTGTGCTGATGAACTCTCACCTGTTAAAATATACTAGACTTTGCTAACTAAAGCTGGAGTACAACTTTTTGCAAGTCTCTTTGTGGATGGTCATTAAGGCCCAAGTTGATCCATATTTCTTTGTTTTATAATACTATGAAATGTTTGATCTAACAAGTGTTGCAGTTGCTTAATATCAATGAATTTTTAGGTAAAATCTGATATTTACTGTTCATAAAAAGATCCTTTTTTAATTATAATTGTTTAAATACACAAAGAATAGCTTTTGTGCTACTCATCAGGCCATACAATCTCAGGTAGTGGTGTCTTTTAATCTTACTGTAAAATTATTTGAAAAGGCCATGAGAGTTTTAGTAATCATGATGTTATCTTTTTATTTTAACAAGGTCTATGGTTTTTATTGAAAACTATTACAAACAACATATTTCATTTTATCCCTCAAATTACCAACTTATTTTTATACTAATTACCACTGGTGAGGTCCACCATGCATCATACTGAGTAATTTTATGTTTTTAGGTTTTTTTTTTTCCTGTTCAACTCCTTAAACCTAAGCAGATGCTAACAGCATCCAGCCGAAAATCCTGATTTACTCATTGGATGGTGACAGCATCCAATAACATTTTTGTCTCTTTGACAGAAAACTAATCCAAATCATGTTATTAACCACCTTTTTACAAATAGACCAGAAATTTTAGAAGGTATGGTGATAATTATTGAGACATCAGAAAAATAATTCCAGCAGAACGTGCAAACAATTATGGGTTTAAAGGAGTTAAAAAACTTGTGAAAACAAATTGTGTGAAATTAGTAAATTTCATAGAGAATCCCAGCTGTAATTAATCAGATTAATTGCAATATTGATGGTCTATTTGTTTAGATTTATTTTGTACCTCAATACGAAATTAGTAGCGCTGTAAACAGCAAAAACAAACAATTTCGTGCATAAATAGTGTAGAAAAATGTGTTTACAAAGCTGATGCAATCTACATGAGCCTAAACAGTAATCCTAGGTATAGCAATGAAATTTTGGAAAAATATTTAAAGGTATTTTAAAAAAGATTTTTCATCACATAGTTAAATTTCATGAAAAAAGTTTTACTTTAGTTAATTCACAATTATTATACAATATTTGTTTGAGAAGAATAAGTCACTGAAGACAGATCATTGTAAGTTAATATTCCATTTCTATATAATGAACAGTTGAAAGTGTAAAGTTATAGTGTATTTTTTTAATCAATACAAGTTTTTATGTATGGGTGCACTATACATGTGCTGTTAGGCCAATTGTTTTAGCATTGTCATGACAGTTTTCTTTATATGTACATTTTGGACTCTGGACCTCATGGATTTAGTTGGTATATGTATCTTTACCCAGAACTAAAGATACTTGTTCTTTTGTTGAACTGTAGTTTATGTAAAGAATAATAATAGTAAATACATATTGTCATATCTCTGGCCATTAATGGCAAAAAAATGAGGCTTAATGTCATATATATATATATTCAGAAATATATATTTCTGTGAAGGTTTTATTTTTATTCTCATAACTTGTATATATATATGCGTGTGTGTGTGTGTAATATAAGAAAAATCAGCTTATTTTGTTGGATAAAGGGTGTAAAAATATAGTTATTGCATGTGTTTGTAAATGCAAAGAAAAAGCAGAGAGCAGTAGTGCTTTTATGTTGTCCTATAAAACTTCTGTGTTCTTTGGATAATGGATGTATACATTTTTTTTTTTTCCTTTTTTAAAGTTTTCTAAAATGTGACCACATTGATGTAGATATGCAAGTCTGAGTAGATAACAACCATTACCATAGAGTGTTATAATCTGTGCATCCAGTTACATTGGCATAATATACTTGGTTTTATATTTCTTTTTTATATTATGCCTACCTTTTTTTTTAGATCTGTTGTTCTTAATGCAGAATAGAAGTCATGTGATACAAATAATAATTTTTGAATGTGTTATCAAATAGTTTTGAATATCAAAGTGTATCATGGTTTAGTTAAACAGTGAATCCTTTATTTCACTGGGTTCTGTAGCTAAGAATACAGTATGCTTGTAATATGATTATTGGTGTTTTTCTGAATGTAGGATAGGTTGCACAGTGGTCTGTGGTTCTGAGTGCAGTACAAATTTCATTATTCACTGGGATCTATAGTTCTTATTGCTGTATGGTTTTAACATAGTTATAGAGTATGTTTTCAGTATTAGAAAATGACTTTGAGGAACTGTGTTTAGAATGGCTTTAGTTTTGCACGTGGATGTATATCATTTGAGTGCAAGGAGTAGCTGTAAAAATGTACCAGGTTCTCAAAGCAGTGTCATCCTAAATAAGATTTTTTTTGTTGTTGTTTTTTCTTAATGACAATAAGTTGAATCATTCAAAAGGATTTTTGCCATTATGATTATAATACTTGATATCAGTGCATTATTTCTGTAATTTGTGCTAAAATATTAAAACCATATGAGCTACATTTAAGTAAATCCTCTGCCTTGTTTTATAGTGAAAAATATTACATCTTGGAATCTTAATATTGTAAACAATGTTTTCAAGATATAATAAATAGATAAAAGCATAACTTGAATTTCATGGAGGTCTTTGTAACAAGATATGGTCCATATAAGCTTTAGCTTTTTTTTTTCAGAAAGTAATGATAAATTAATAAAATGATAAGGCTTAAAATTGTATTTTAGGTTTGGCTCTTGAGGAAGTGAGACTGCGTTAATACTTATAGCACATAATTATATATTAAGATTTTAAAAAAAATTCAAAATAATATAATTTGGGCACCTGCATGCACAAGTATGACTCATTGTTGAAAGATTTGATATATATATATAATGATTGAACATTAATATCAAACTTCCCCCAGACGCTCAATGGTAAGCTTGAGGGCTTATAATGCTAAAATTTGGGGTTCTATCCTTTTGGGATAGTATATGAAAAAAAGAATTATATTTCATCTGTATGCATGTATATACTTTTTTAATGATAACAGTTTGTAAAGTAGTACTTCTAAGTTACCTTAATTAAACTTTCTTGCACGTCTGGCTTTTTTTCTTTTTTTGTTTGTATTAAAGAAAATTAATTTCTTTGCATTTGGTGCAGTGAAATGTTTGTTCCCAATTTGTTTCAGTAATTTTCTTTTTTTCATATTCATCTTGAAGACAGTAATTATTGATTCACAAACATTAATAGTGTTAATTGATACACAAATTCCATTATGAATGGTTGGAAGAATAGCAACAAAAGCTCAAACATGCTCTTTCTGAATCTTTGTTCACTATTTTTTGTGTTATAATGAAATGTTGGTGCCTATACTTCTTTACAAAGTTTGTTTGTAAAATTGCAGTGTCTTAGAGATTTTATGATCTTTTTATGACTTGTTAAACACTATTTACATTTATATTGTTTAAGTCAATAAGAAATTTTATTATTTTTTTATGATAATTTTAAATATCAGAAATATTAAAGCATATGGGAAAAGAAAACTTATGTATTTTTCAAAATTGTTTATGTGAAAAGTACAATTAAGATAAATTACTTTAAAATCCTGCAAAAAAAATACGAGTTTCTGTTATGATCTTCAGAAACTTTTGATGTAAAATAATAATTTAAGAAGTTCAGAAAGAGGCTTGGCTCTTACTTCAAGTAACAAGTCAGTGGTTTCATTTTCATATTTTGCTCTTACAGTCAATTACTCTTGTAAAATAGTTTAATTTTTCACCTTTTTTCTATTTATTGTTATCTGTATTATTTCCACAAGAAGCAGATTACTGTACTAGCCTCCAAATTGCAATAATATGTCTCTGCATTTATAACTAGTACTATAAATTGTCCATTTTTAATTTTACAGTAAACTTTTTAAATATATTATAGTATGTGCTTCCATTTCTTACTGTCCTTAAATTGTCATTATTAAGGCTTTGCTTCTCAATAATAATAATAAATACTAATGTTTCCATATCTAAGATCATGTGAACTAAAAGTCACAAAATATTAAGGAAATTGACATAAACATTTATTTTATGAATAGCATAAATCAAAGAAGATGTTAAGTTAGTCAGCAGAGATTTAATAAAACAGGTATGATAAATATTTTAAACTGTTTGTATTGTAGGAAAATTACTGAGAAATACCTTTCATAATGCTGAACATAATATTTTATTCTAAATTAAAATATGTAAGAAGAACATGTTACAGAACCCTTTTGGAAAGAAAAAATAACAGATCATTGAATTACTATGAATATTTAGTATTGCATGATTTTATTTTGATAAAATAACTTCACATTTCAGTATTTTGTACTAAGCTACATTAATCAGAATTTTCTTCATAAACAAGATCAAAATCATGAGGATTGTTACTGCAACACACAATAGCTTTAAAAACTCAAAACAAAACAAGATGTTAATCTTTCAGTGTAATATCTGGGATTATAAACTTAACATATGACATGTGAATGAACTTTTTAGACGAATTTTAACTTTGTTCAAAAAAATTTATGTGTTATTATTTTCAATATCCATGTGGTATCATATAGTCAGATTATTTGGCCAAAGTAATTTTTTTTATTGTTTTCCTTTTTTCATTATTAATGATTATCGGGTTTTGTTTGTTTAGTCTTTTACAACAGATTCCTTCGTTTCTGTTGAAAATATCCAACCATTCAAAATTCATGAACTAGAATTTTTTTTTGTTTGTTGATCATGAAAGAGAAACTTCCTTTTTTAAGATTTAAAGATGTATTTTCAGAAAAACTGTTTTGTTAAGCCTAAAACTTCAGAATGATATTGCTTACCATTGTGCCACTAGATTACATTATTATAATTAGATATTATGTTTGCCTTTTAACTTGTCATAAAAAAAGTAAAGTTTGGTTTAACTTCTAGTGGCATTATTGACAAAACTAAAATTTATACCTTAATTTAGCCAAACATAAACATTTAGTAGAACAAAAAGTCCAACTATTTTTTATTATTTCTGATTTGGTGACTAAGTATTTTGTTCCCATAGTTGTAGAAAGTCTGGGGAAATTAGTTATTTTTTAAATTTAAATCCTGATGGTAGTAATTTTATGGAATACTGAAAGATTGTAAGTAAAATGAGATAATTTAATCATTGTGAGTAATGTTTTAAAATTTCTTTTAAACTTTTTTTTTTGAATATTTACTCATAAGATTATGAAAGGCTTTAAATGAAGGCAGTATTGCTCATATCTTATCTGAGTAAGGTATGTCTTGGTTTTTAGATTTCAAAAATGTTTACACCATTTTATAAGTAATTTGTTAGAAATTGTAATTGTGTGATGAAAAATAGTTATGGGTAGGGAGTGAAAAGTGTTTTGGAAGTTGTTTAGCTGATTGTAGTCTTTCATAGGTAACATTTAATATCCAACAAAAATAAATGGTGCATTTTTACCATTCATGAATAGCACAAGTTTGTTTTAGAATATACAATTTACATAATAACTGGCTTACTGATCTTTAAATTTTGATTATAAAAATAATAAATAACTCATTTAAACTTAAGTTCACCAACATTTTCTTTTGGGAAAGTGCTAATTTTGTATAGAAATAAAATTGATTTCACAAAAGATAAGTGCTGTAGTTGTATTCATAGTAAACATTATCCTGCTGAATAGTGAAGGTTCGTGAAAGTTTGCACGATGGACAAGAAAACTAAGTACAGTGAATATTATTGTTAGCTGTAGGAGTATATGTAGATACCTGTATACAATGAGCACATTCTTGTACAAATGTTTGATGTAAATTTATTTTTTATGTGAACTTAAATAAAAACTTCAAACTTATTCTTTTTTTATTTACAGCTCTTTTATTTTTTTATGTACTCTGAGTACTATTTAGTACTTAAGTATTACACAAATGGAAAATGCTATGAATAGAAACCCTGGAGTAAGATTCGGTAAATAAATAACTTATCAGGAGTTATAGGTCATTTTGTTTAATTAGTATAATGTTAAATGTACTTCAGTCATATCTTCTTTTTTTTTAACTTTGAAGTAGTATCACATTATTTTTGTAATCAAATTGATAAACAGTATTTTTAATGTACAAAAATATGCTGGAAGTTTAGATTTATTAAGAAATTGCTCCTAAAATAAATAATGTCAAGAAATAAAATTAAACAGTATATTAATTGGTTGAACCATGCAGCAGACTATACTTTTGTTTTTAAACATTAGGTAATACCTCATTGAATTTTACTGTTGTTTACATGATTAATCAAAAAGTCACTTTTTTATTTTCATAGGAATTAACATTAAACAGACTATTTATTATTCTAATAAATACAAACAAGTAAGTTGTGATAAAATAAACCTGTAAAAGAACAATCTTGCATGAAACAGGTTGCTTTCAACATAAACTTTAAAAAAGTCAAGCTCAATTTTTTATTGATGTCAACTTTCCTTATTTTTGAATATGCGGTAAAGCGTAACAATTAATGGATACTTTATGACTCAAATTGCATAACTTCTTGGCTTTGTAAGAGGGACAGTATCAAAGGTTACTACAGCATGGTTATTATCTTATCAGGTAAATGTATTGGTTATTAAGTTTATTATAGATGTAACTAATTTTTATTATTAAATAGATTATTCCACATTGTTAGCTTAGTTTATGGATTAATATAATAAGCTGGTTGAGCCAAGTATAATTTTAACCATAGTATGATAGTTCATACTTGGACTAGGAGTAAACAAATGAAGCTTTTATGATAGTCTAGACACACAGTGTGGGTTATGATATTTAATATATCTACTTTTATTATTTCTAATTTACTTTAATGTTTACTATTATGATTATTCTGCAATATTAACTTAGTATATAAATTTAGGTTAACCTGGGCTGATCATACATCAGGAGATATTATTGGGTACCCAACTGATAAATCAATGCATTCTAATTATTATATATAATACAGTTTGAACACTGTATTTAATTAACTTTTTTTAATCACTAGGTATATATGTTTTAGTTCTAATCTACGTAAGTTTATTTTGAGGAATAGAGACCCTGTACATTTTAATTTGTGGTGAATCATTTAATGAGAAACTTATTATAAATTAATAAGTCGCCACTCATATTCTTTTAAAGTGAAAGTAAGTACATCAGTGATTACTAATGTAAACATAATCGGGTAGAACTGACCTTTATTTGGAAAGTTATTCAACTGAACATTTATAGTATAGCCTACAATAACATAAACCAAACGACACATTTTTTCACACTTCAAGATGTGAAACCTAGACATATTCAACTGATTATAGTATTCTGTAACATTTCCAAGAATGTAATAAAATGTTTCAAATAGAAATATCAAAATTACACTACTGTACTGGATATTTGGTAGTACTAATTCTATATTCTCATTTATGTTGTTAACACTAAAATTAATTAACACAATCTTACATATATATAGCGAACCGTGGTGTCTGTTCGAGCGTCCGTCTGTCTCCCGTTTCAAAGGCTGCGCACGCAGACAAAGCTCAACATTCACTTTTGAAATGACGGGAAAACATGCATGAATAATGTTGATACCAAATTGTTAGGAATTAATCACACTATCATTTACATTTCAAAATGTGACGTAACTTAAAGAATAAGAATACAGATTTACCGTATGTTAAGCGGCTCTTAGCGTAACTGAAATGCTCAACAATTACTTTTAGCGGTGGGCAGTATAAATAACTCAGACTCTGAGTGAAAGCAAGAATGCAACACAATTAACCTTTTTAACGCACCTAAAATGAATGAGTAAACCAAATTTCTTTGTCAAGTCAACAGGTCATCTTGTGACTTTTGTTCTTTCACGGGAGTGGTCCGCTGTAACATTTAGACAATGTCAACTCGGCTAACAAAGGATATTACAGTCGCTAATCTTTTCAACCCAGATGCTATATGTTACTGTAATATCCTTTCGGGCAGAATAGATATCTACTATAGTGAACAAAGAACGGCATTTTCAACGACTTGTTAAAACTCCGCACAAACCAAATACACGAAAAAAAATTTAAATTCCTATATAACTAAAGCAGGTAAAAAACATGATAGGCGTGCATAACACATAATATAAATAGCGTGTCTAACACTACTAATAGCCTGGTACTATGTCTGTTGTATCCCAGCGTCCTGAAGAGCCCTGGTATTAGGCGAAAGGTGTCGTTAGTACTGGATATAGTTGGCATGTGTGGTTAATATTATATTACTAGCATATAGCCCGTCAAAAATGACGGGG